GTAACTTTAAATTACCTGAACTTGAGAAAACATGTTCAACAAACTTAAGATATTAGGTTAAATCAACTAGTCACATAGACAACGTTTACAGATAGACTTTTTTTTTTTTTCAACATTTCAAAGTTTAAAGAGTTTGTTCTTTTATTGAACACAGAACTTAGATCCTCAGCTGTGGAAGCTGTTTTGTTTGCCAGTTGTTAAGATTATTATTAGAATTAAAAAGTCGCAACTTAATTTAACAAAGATGTCCATTTAAACAATTTTAACTCTCTATCAATGCATCCAACTTAAATGCTAGGTTTTTGTTGTTGTTTATACATATATATAGCCATATTTGAATGAACTTACTTAACTATACCTAAATTATAACAACTCATGTTTTTAAGCCAAAATTTGACATTTTCAGTTCAGAAGCTGGAAGATAGCAAAACCCATGTTTCCACTAAATAAACTAGAAGGATGAGTAGATTTGACTAAATCCTGTGCTGATGTTTTACAGTGTCAAACCTGTAACCGATGCAGGATGACTGTTATTGAACCACACAACAGTTATAACCTCTCTGGCTTCTCGCTGCCTTTGCTCAAATCTGGCAACAACCTGTTTGTGTTTTTGTGTTTTCTGCCACTGAGCTGCAACTGCGACGGCATGCAGAGCAGATCTTTGTTCTCAGTTTGAGTCATCTGGGATGTTTTTAGTTTGACGTCATGAGCGGAAAGAGGACATCACTTATCTGTCAGCATCTTCGTTGGTGTCTTGGTGGGTCTGTGGTCAGACAAATGCTCATACTGAAGATGCCTCCTCCCACAAAAAAACAGAAAAGATGAAAACAAGGCTCAGGTCACATCTGTAAGCAGCTGGATGCTCAAATAATAAAATATTATTCAGTGAAGGCCAGTAAAAGTCTGGTTCAGCCTGCGTGTGTCCTGGATGACGAGCAGATAAAATTCCTGTGAACATAAAAGTGAGACACCCAAGCTGAGACACAACACTTCACTCACTCAGTGACATTGAAACAGCTGCAGCATCAACTTTTTAAAGAGTTCATGAGCCTATGTTTGGCAGTTCTTCAGTGAAACACGTGTATGTAAAAACAGAAGTGAGGACTAAACAAAACTGGTCATGTTTAGACCAGCTTATCATTCTCCGACAGCCATTTCCTTGCAGTGGCCCTTCTCTGTGCATTGGGCTGCCTCAGGCGATGACGCCCCCTCTAGTTCGTCATATGGTGGGAAAAAAAGTTTCCAAATGGGGCCACAGAGGGGTACATTTCCATTTGTGATAACATAAAACATCTGTGAATGCTGCGGTCGTAGTTCTTAAGAAGTGCATGAATAAGTGGATACAGAGTAGATTATGTAGAAAAAAGTGGAAAGAAAGAGGAAATAGTAAAAAAAAAAAAAAAGCCTACAGACTAGAGTTTAATGCACAGATACATGAAAGAGTTGTTGTTCAGTAGTGATTCATCAAACAAAGGTGAGTACAATAAACAGACTATGTGTCGTTCAAGCACATTGCATGTTAAAACAGAAGCCGAAGAGAAACCACATTCCTGTGTCACAATCACGTTTTTTTTTTTTTTTACCCTTGGGGAGGTGTTTCCAACTTGAGTGAACCCACAGATGTAACTGTGACAGCAGACTGAGGCGACTGAGGAAATGAGAACAGAAACACAGACAGAGGTGGGAGCAGCATGAGAGGCTCTAGCTGAGTGCTGTTCATAGACAATAAAATGGGGAAACTTCTTGTCTTCATCCTGGTTTTGGTCCTCTGTACAAGTGGGACGCTTCAGAAAGAAGGTAAGAGATGCTGGTCACAGTTTAAGTTTAAGGGCAGAGATTAGATGTCTTGCGTCATGTTGCTTTGTGTTACTTTACAGTTTGAAGCGCTTGCTGTATATGAGCTGTAGATGTGATATGTGTATGAACTGTAGATGTGATGTGTGTATGAGCTGTAGATGTGACATGCTGCTAACTCTCATTCAAACTAAATGAATCTCTGGTTGAGTTGGTGTCAGATTGGATCAGTTCTGAACAAGTCGCCGTCAGAATTGATGGCAACTCTCACAGATTTATGATGACATTGAAACAAAAGATGGCTAATTACAGAATTCATTTACAACAAAGTTGCCTCCATTTGAATAAATGAATGAATAATAAATAAATATTTGGGGAATACATTTCTTATACATCAATTACATTACAGTTCTATTCCCACTTTCATCGACAGAAAAGCAGCCTTTGTCTCCTCTGTGGTTATTCCAGTTACTTCCTTTATTAACTGACGTTTTTAACTGAAACCAATAACAATAATAAAAATAACTATTATTATAATTGTTGTGTTGTTGACAATGAACAAATGCTTTGTCACAATTTATTTTACAGAATATATTGAGTGTTAATACACCATTGAAAGTTTATCTGTGATATCGGCAATAAAATTCAAAAGTCAAGTAACCAAGTATGATATCAAATAACAATAGCATTACTCTTAAAACCTGGCGTCCACATGCATGGACATCACATTTTGGGTTTTTCAAATTTTTAATTATTATTTTAGTAATATTATTTTATTATTGTTTATTTTTATTTTATATTTTTTGTTATATTTTAAAATTTATTTATTTTCTTTATATATTTTTTTTGTTTTTATTCCTCTTTGCTATTTGATCAGATCAAAGAGGAATAAAAAAATGCATATCAAACAAGAGCTCGGGTCTTAAGAGGTTAATATTAGAAGTGGCAGTTGTTGCAGTAGCAGTGAAAACATTGTTTGCATAAACATATAATCCACAGAGGTAGACAGTGTCCTAAATTGATTTTAATAACATGTATGTGAATATTATTATCCCTAACGTTTGCATGTACTTGTTTCTGTTGCAGGGAGAAGAAAGCAGAACCACACTGTGGGTGCTATGCCCAGATCATTTATAGGGCAACCTGGCATTCAGACAGAGTTAGTCCTAAATGCAAATGGGACTCAAGTTAACATTTCAGCCCCTCCAACTCTGCGGTCACTAAACAACAGCACAGTGGGCTACCTCCGCGGCCCTCTCAGCACCCGGGTCATCCCCATTATTTATCTGTTGGTGGTTGCCGTCGGGATCCCGGCCAATGTCTCCATCCTGTGCCTGCTGGTGACTAAAATTAGAAAGGTGTCCTCTGCCATCCTCTACTGCAGCCTGGCTGTCTCCGACCTCTTCCTCCTCCTCTCCCTCTTTTTCAAGGCTCACTACCATCTCCATGGAAACCACTGGGTTCTTGGGGAGGCTGCCTGTCGAGTGGTCACGGCCTGTTTCTATGGCAACCTCTACTGCTCGGCCCTGACGCTGGCTTGCATGAGCATCAAGCGTTACATTGCTGTGGTGTACCCGTTCCTGTACAAACGTCTGCCCAAGAGGACGTGTACCACCTGGGTGAGCCTGGCTGTATGGGGGCTGTTTGGTGCCGCCATCGTCCCCGAGCTCCTCGTCCAGCAGAGCTACCGGCTGCCTGAGCTCAACATCACCACCTGCCACGATGTGCTGCCTCTATACCAACGCTCTCATCTGTTCCTGCTCTACTACAACCTGATTCTGACCATCCTCGGCCTTTTGGTGCCGCTGGTGGTGACGGTCGTGTGCTTCGTCCGAATCATCCGTGAGCTCAACCAGTCGCACCACGACTGGGCGATGTACATCAAGGCCAGCTCTCTGGTGTTTGCCATCTTCCTGGTGTGCTTCATCCCCGCCGGAGTCCTGCACTTTCTCCATTATCTGCAGCTGTCTGTAAATGGGCCACAAAATTTGTACGCGTTCTTCAACGTGGCGGTGTGTTTGTGCTGCCTCCACGCCTGCCTCGACCCCTTTCTCTTCCTGGTCATGTCCAAGTCTGCAGGCTCCAGGCTTTACTTCATGACTTTCAAGGGCCACACCCTGAGCATATCAATCTGACAGGGTCATACCTGTCACCAAAAACTGAGCTCTTCTTTTTGTAGCTGATGACGAGCAAAATGTTCTCTATGGCTGGAATCCAAAGAGATCACACAGTGTTCATTTTATAAGCTTTCAGGTAGAATTATTTTTTTGAGTATGTCTTTTTGTGTGTGTGTGTGTGTGTGTGTGTGATTGTATATAGAAACCAATATCTCCTTTTTTTTTAATTCTCACTGATTGTGTCTAATTTTAAAATTAGAATTACTATATTAAACTTGAATTTGACAGCTGCATCTATTAAATAACAAGGGAATATTTGTGGAATTATAATAAATGTACAAAAGTGTATTAGTGGATTCACAGTATGTTTTTCTAACTTTGTTGTGTATGTCATTTATGATGAGTATTTTGTGATTTCATGATACTGTAGCCTTTCCTTAGCTTTCATATCAATCTCATTTCAGTTGCTATATTCTGTATGTCTATGTGCTGCTGCCTGTTTAATCCAAGAAGCTTTTGTAAAAGAGATTCTTAACGTTACTGAGACTTTTTTCTGGTTAAAAGAAGTCAAATAGTTACAATAAAATAATGTTTAAAAGAGCTGAAAAAATGCATGTTTTTAAATGAACAGCTTTGGAATAACGCACAGAGTGTATCAATAAATGAACAGTCATGTTGTAGAAGTTGGAAGAAAGATGAACTCCATTCTGTTTTTCATGTCTGCATTTATGTTTCATGTTGTTTTTAATATGTTTGAGGTTAAATTCATTTTACATCTTCTTCTTTGAGCTTGATGAATAGTTCCTCCGATGCAGAGCGTCACAACTCACAGCACTTTAAATATAAATGGGTGACCAATTAAAGGAAATATCTGAGCCTTTAACCCTTGCAACCTATTTGGTTAAACCCTTTTTAAATGTTTTCCTACAAGTGTAATCATGCTCTTAAATATTTCGTGTGTTCTCTACATATAGTCTCAAAAAGTTCAATAATTTCATAAGAGCCTTAAAATCTGAGCTTCTTTCATCTGAGTAACAACTTTTGCAAAAGATCAGGGTGATTTATTTATTTTTTTTCCATTGTTAATGCAGTTTGCAGAATCTGTATTATTAACAGTGAATATAATAAAATTACACTGGATTCTCTATGGTGAGGAGATCCGGTGACTGTTCACGGTGTGGGGTAACTTGCTGGCATGGTTTAGCTCAACTTGTCACCTCAGAGGGAAGAATCATTACAAAACAGTACAAAGATGTTACGATTAGGTTCACAGTCACTAAATCTTGATTTGGTACGACACCTTTGGGAGATTTTAGAACGATGTGCCAGACACGGCTCCACCAAACATCTTTTGGTAAAACGGGATTCACTTTGGCCGAACACCTTATCGAGACACTTCATGTTAGTTTTTCCTTTAATATGTCATCCGTCTGTATATTCTGTACATTTCCGAAACTTATCAGCTTATGATGAAACTTAACAGCTTATCATCTGAACTCCTCAAGGAGGTAATTAACCACTAACCTCCTCTCTGTTGCATTCTATCTCTTTCCATCTGCTGCTTTTTCATTACACTGGCATTTCCTGTTGAGCCTGACAGGATATAGTGTGACACACCAACACACTGACTACCCAATTGGGTCAGAGGTTGCTAAAATTGTAGTGTGGATCAAATCTAAATAAACCAATGGGCTGATGTAGCTACTGAAATGAAAACTGAAGTGTGTTTGAGGAAATTAGCTACTCTTTAAATGAGCAGTCAACCTTTTGAAGTGTCACTGATAGTGAATATTTCACTTCTTCATTTTTATATTCAGGCAAAGAAAAACATCATCTTTAGTGATGATCAGTTTGCATATGACAAAGTTAACATTCTATTCTAATGTTAAGAGTTTTCACTAGATTAGTTCATCCTCTGAGACTTTACATAGTGCATTCATGAACAGTTTAATACACTGTGTTGGGTTTTGTTGCTGCAGACTGACCTGGTCTGGTAGGACCTGCAGCTTGTGGTGGCTAAGGTTACCAACAATGACAATATTACTAACAAACTGCAACATATTGCTTTAATTAACAGATTAGAGTCAAACATAGACTTGGATTTAAGACTAAGTAGTAGGTTTTAGTGTCCTCCACCAAGACAATGTGACCTCTAAACCCTTAAGTTGCTGCATTCTGGTGATTTTTTATGCACCGGTTTCTTTATTTTCTGCATCAAATTAAGATGGAAATGCCTTTATTAAAAGAAACCACAAATTTCACACAGCATGTCTAAATGTTATAGCAATTAAAAAAATTAAAATCCTTTGCTTCTCTCTCTCGTCTTTTTATTGAGGGAGACAAATGCACATGCTATGAATATTAAGATGGAGGTACTCCCTGCAGCCACCCTGAAACCTATGTAGTCAAAGTCTGTTTGCTGACGATGCTCTTCTCTACATTTGCTACTGTTACAGTGTTTTAACTCTTATTTAACAGACATAAAACTTGCTCATTTGTCTTACAACTGCCACTTGTCACAGTTCAGTACAAGTTAGACAGGCTTCATTAAATCTAGCCGGCCCTTCTGAAAGAACCAGTGCTGGAAGAAATATTCTTTACTAAAGCACCAATACAGCAAAAAGACATCACAAGTCAAAGTCCTCCTTAGTGCAGAAGAAAAGCAAAATGTAAAGTAAAAAAGAAGAAGTCCTGGTTTGGTCCCTCTGACTAATATATTCCTATCTCTGCCATCATTAGTTTATTTATAGTGAGACATCAGGGCGTCTGCAGCATGTTACTGTTGCAGGTTTGAACTGCTTTATATCCAGTTTTATACGCAGAAAAATGGGCTCAATATGTAAATACATGCATTATAACAAATATCATGTGTGGAGACATTTCAGAATTCTCAGCAGATGGTTGAAAACACTTTGAAGTCACCATTATTTTGTGCATAAACTGGATATGTAAAGTGACAAGATAAACCAAGAGTTCTTCATGGTTTTCTAATGAAGAGAACTGATGTTATTATCTTTAGAAGAAAACACAGTCTGGGATTACTGAGAAGTGCAAACAAAGAGGCAGGAAACAGTGCCCACAGTGGCAGTTACAGTTATTTCTGGACTTCAAAGGGTTGCTGTATTAACCATTGTGTGAACTCTTTTTCTTAAAGGTTACTAAAGCAGATACAAGTTGGATAAATGCAGGTGAGTAGAGAGTACAATATTTCCCTCTGAAATGTCGTAGAGTGGAGGGATAAAGTAGGATAAACTACCACCGAAGTGCAATTAAATAGTGTGTTTTGTTTTTATTTTATTTTACAGTGGTTTTCCTGTAAACCAGCCTCAAACGTAAGTATGAAAATCCAACAGTGAGTGGATGTAAAGATATTCAGAAGCTTATTATTATAAATGAATCACCTCATTGGTCAGACTTACTCATGGCGCCATCTGCTGGTAAAAGTGGACAACAATCCGAGTGAAGCCTCGCAGCTGTTCAAATGAAACTCTTTATTCAACATGGAGACACCAGAGGAATCCACCTTTACACTGCATTCACTTGAGCCTTTTCTTATCAAAATAAATCATATCAAGGACAGGTAACTGTGTTTTTTTTTTTTTTTACACACACCTCCACAGATTGTTCGACAGCAGAGGTTTTCAAATCTGAAAGTCACGCTGTTAAATCCGTTCCCCCAGTGACTCTGTGATTAATCTAACTGGAAACCCTCCCGACGGCAGATTTGACCACCCCTGCTGGTTAACATCTCGCAGTAACATACAGTCATCTCAGCACTAGCATGCCCTTTCACAATGACCTAGAAGTGAACCGAGTATAATGAAAACCTGTCCACGACAAAATCTGACAACACACAAGAATGATACATTCACCTTTAACCCGGGAAATCACGTCTGTTAACCCCCGCAGAGGAACAGCCAGGGACACCGAAATGGGAGAAGCACACACAACAGAGGGACTTCAGTAACAAACATGCAGGGTTTCAGTTCGGAAACAGTGATGTCTAGTGAGTTCGTTCAGCACAAGTGGTGGCGTTTCGAGGAAGGGGCAGACAGAGGAAAAGCATCAAACACAGGAAAGCAGATTCATATCTTGAAACAGCTGCATTTCAGTCATCAAAAATATTGTCTTTGAAAGGAAATAGCTGCATGTAGGAAGTCACACTAAGGAAGGAATAGAGGAGAAACAGAACATCACGAATCATCAGCGCTGCCTGGAAAATAGTCAAATGAAACAGTTCGTGTTAACTGACTTTTTTTTTTGTATGATTGAACAAACGCAGATGAGACACAGTTTTGTATTTTACAACTTATCTAACGCATTTAAACACTGAAGCACTGACGTTGTAGCAGCAAGAATTCATTCACAAGAGGTTTTCAAGAGTCTGTTCACCCAAGTCACAAAAAAGTTTGTCTTTATTACCTCAAGTTGCACCTTACAATGTCGATAGTTTTAGTTTTATTTGGTCACATTCTGTCAGTACATGTGGGTAAACAGATTTTTTTGTGGTGCTCATTGTGGTGCAAAGTGAAAACTCAGTTTGTGTCTCCAGACAAAAATGTGTTCAAGTTACTCTGGATGATCTCTCAGAGCAGCTTCCACTTCATCTGCTGATTGAAGCTGAGGAAATTTAACACTAAAATTGTCTTTAAGAGATAATTTTTCTTCACCTTGAGTTGAGGATTTCCTCTGTCTTAACATTTCAGACAAAGACTGATAGTTGAAGATAAATTTGTAGAGGAATTTCTTTTGTTTTGGTGGTTTTTCTGAGCCCAAAAAATACATTTTGAGAATGCAACATGACCTACTGAACATCTCTGTATCACCATATAGACTTATTATGCCTGGGATAGGAAAAACATTACCATGTCAAATAAAATCTGCCCATCGGGAGAAGTCCAAAACGTCCTGATGGATAGTCTGCATCTGTTAGTCAGCGAGCGTACTGCTTTAATCAAGACTGAAATATGGAGACATTTATGGTCCCCAGGCGATGACTCCTTCTGAATTTGGTGACCTCTTTGATTTTGTTCACATTTGTAGTTTTGGTGAAATAGATTAACAACTAGTTGATGAATTTCCAGGGAATTTGGTGCAAACATTCATGTCCCCCCCCCACAATGTTGGCACCAGAATGGCCTGTTCAAACTGTGCTGCTGCTGCTTTCAGTGCAGGACAAAGCAAAATAAGTTTTCAAAACCTCTAGCGGGCCTACATCACTAACTCAATAAAATATTTTGTGTGAAAATTTCACCTCTTATTTCCTCAATTAAGAAACAAATGAGCTATAGTTTGAACTTTGACTGCTGCATGCACATGAGCACTCTGGCCAGTGTGCTTTGCTTTGCTTGATGCAGCACCAAACCATCGTGGTGCAGTGCAAGCCAGCGGAGATAGCAGGAATCAGAGAGCAGGGCATCAGCGTGGCGATAAATCACTGTGAGCATGTTAGCATATTCTGATCCTGCAAGGCCGAACTTTTGTCTCCCTCCTCTGGCAGTGAGAGTAATTACACAAACACTGTCGACATGGGCTTATGACAGCCGCCGTAGCACTGACTGCTTTCTGTTTTAGTCTGCAAACCTTCCTCTAAACACTAAGTCTTGTCTTTTATCTGCTAAATCACAAAGTTTTTCTTTTTTCTGGGTTCTTCCACTCCAGACTTCAGTATCCTCCTGCTTTCTGTAACCTCCCCTCTGTTCTGGCAAACCAACAGTTGCGTAAATCACATCACTGCTGGTGCACCCATGTAGGAATGTTGCTACAGAAACCAGACAAACTCCACTAAATTGCGAATTACAGAGAGATTTAACTGACAATGGGCTTCATTGGCACTGTGTGAACTACAACAAGCACTGCTTTATCTGTTTTTCTGTCCCAGCTTTGGCTCAAGTGCAGCCTTACCGAGGTGCATGCCTGTGGAGTGTTATTAAAAGTAGCTCTTAATATTTATGAGCAGCACAAACACTTAAAATTTGCATCAAGTTCTAAAATGTCAGCACATAAAACCAAAACTATCACCGTGGCTATGAAATAAGTATTTTTTTGGAATTTGGGTGAGCTGACTCTTTACACATGGCTTTTAATATCAATTTTGAATCAAATTCTTCCTTGGTATAGCAAAACACATGAAAAAAGCAATTTGGTTTTCCATATACAGGTAAGAGATGGTCACGAGGATTTGTCTTGTCACACACACTCACACTCACTCGTCGCAGTATCAAGAGATAAGGGACCAAAAGGGGGGAAAAAAAGAAAGCAGGACAGAGCAGCAAAGCTTCCAGCGAGGTTTGGAAGTAGAGATGGGCTCGATGAAGAGAGAGAGAGGCACGACATTTGAGAAAGGCCTTTGAGTTGTGGAGGGAGCAGCAGCAAGGCAGGAGGAGATAAACAAGAGGACGAGAACACGAGACACGCTGAGGAAACCAGGACAATGAGACAGATAAAGAGGAAAAAAAAAAACACGAAGAGAAGAGCAAATTTTGATACCAACAGAAGTTTCCTACGGTATAAATTCTTCTCGACGGATCAGATTGCAACGGAGAGCAAAGCCCTTCATGGTGAGCTCGGCGCCACAAGACGAATACAGACAGAGGGAGAGAGGAAGCATTCAGACAAAAGGATTCCAATCCCAAAAGTCTCTTACTGTAAAAAGCAGAAAATGTAAACTTCTTTTCACTTTTAGAAATGTAGCTGCTGAAGTTGCCAGTTTTGACTAAACTACTTTATCATTATTGATTTTTTTTTTTCTATGGCCTTGTCATTCTTGCAAGTTGCAGCAAAAGGCTTAAGTGTCATCAACCTTTATTGGAATACTGATCAGAGTCAAAAGTATCCCTCAACATCGGACCTAAAAAACAGAAAAGCACACAGATGCAGCAATAAATAACTTATAAATTAATAAATAAGTCAGCATTTACTTTTACTTTCTTGCTGAGCAAGGAGAGAAGATCTGATACCTCTCTCATATCTGTATGGTAAATATGAAGCTACAGGCAGCTAGTTAGCTTAGCTTAGCATAAAGAGTGGAAACATGGGGAAAGGCTGGCCTGACTCTACCCAAAGGGAACCGAATCTATCCACCTAAGCCTCTAAAGATGAACAGAGTTTGTATTTTTATGTGCAACAGTATCCTGGTAATGAGGCTTATCCTGGTTCTTCTTTTATTCAGAATATAGTGTTTACATGATGCACAGATATCAGGTGATTCATGTCCCTCTATACACCATAAACGTACCAGTGACTGATTTCTGAATGCTGTTTGTACACTCACTTGTCGTGTTTACAACTCAAACTGGCAATTTAATGTGACTTTTCTGTAACTGTTGGCTTCACTTTGAATAAGTTTGACTGTTGACTGCAGTTACATAAAAATGAGGCCACTTAAGACACCAGAAACAACAGAACAAGCGCCAGTCCATCTAACAAACACAGTCATATTGTATCTTCTTTGTCTAAGCTGTGCACCAACCCAAATATAAATACAACACACTGTTGTGTAGTTTTTTACAAGTTACTGCACCTGACCAAGGATTGTACAGATCATTAGCCCCATAGATCTAAACGTTGTCGTTTTACAGTTTCATTTTTGTGCATATTTAACAAACAAGATACAGCATGTGAATCAGCAAGCTTCAGATTTGTTGGTGGCCCTTTTTAGGATTTAGCCAGGCTAGTTGTATCCCTGACCTCCAGTCCAAAGGCTGTATATTAGAGATGGACGTAGCCTCCGGGTCTGAAAAGGTGAAACCAATGCAGGAACACCCTAAATCTGTATTCTTTTCAACAGCCAGCAGGGGGTGACTCCTCTGGTTGAAAAAAGAAGTCTGATTGTATGCAAGTCTCAGAGAGAATTTACCCACTTCTCACTTCATTTGTTACCTCAGTGACCATTTTTTTTTAAAGGGTTTATGGTCTCAGCCAGTAGTTTTCAGTCTCCTTTATCACAATATGATGTTAATTTTGTAAATTATAGTTCAATTTAAAGTAAAATAGATTAGAATAAGTTCATGTTTAAAAGGTTTGTTCCGCTTCTCAATCGTTAAGTTAATTTCCAAACACACGGTGGCTCCATTCATCTTTTATATACAGTCTGTGTTTAGGCTAAGCTAAGTGCCTGCAGGTGGTAGCTTTGAATGTTTCCTAAAATGTCAAACTATGTCTTTAATCTGAGCAAGAGTGAGTGGGATTTGGAAAGATAAGGTTGTTAGAAGTCCAAGCCTTTTGCTGCTTTGGCACATGCATTTGTGGGTTGCATGTGTGAAACAGCACATGGTAGTTAATGAGCTGTTGATATACAGAGTTTTATCACCACTGATCAGCTTGTTTCTTTCAAGGAGTTTTTTTTCCCCTTTGAATTACTGCAAGAATACCCACAGCTCTTTGAAACATTTAATATACCAAATTCCCCTCTTCTGTACATCTACAGCTCTCAAAACTGCATTTCACTATCGAATTTACCAGGTATTTAACTCAGAACTAACAGAATAACAATAACAGCCTGTCATGTGTTTGAATTTGTAGACATATTCAGCACTATTTACTAAATAAATAACACAAGAAAGATGAGAGGAATGGTTGTTTCTGTGACATTCTAATAAATCATATTCCATAAATGGGACATTATTCAGCACACTGAGTAAATACCTGGTAAACAACATACTGTTCTGTACTGAGGTTTACATGAGGACATTGGCACGTGTGTCTGGCAGTCGGAGCCCCACCAGCCCACCGCCAACCAGCACGGCTGATGCCAGCAGGATGGGAATAGCCTTGGTGATGCCAACCAGCGAGCCAAAGATCAGGTTGCCCAGCACTGCTGCCAGCTTACACATGGCGTTACAGAAGCCAAATCCTGTGCCCCTGAATATAAAGAGACAAAGAAGGCACGGAGGAGTCAGAAATGTAAAGCATGGACGTCTCAATCAGGTCTCGATAACCTGAAATAGTCAGTGTTACATTTATTTTACGAAAATTATGCCAAGTTGCTCATTTAAGTACTCATACTTCAGTTTTATTCTGTCCTTGCTCTACCCAAGAGAGCATTTACTGACAAAATGAGTACTATAATACACCTGATATAGCTGCAAAATGACGGTGGCTTCTTAACACCATCCAGTGTCTGTTACTGAATAAATCTGAGGTGAGAAACTAGTTGTAGAGTCTTGCTTCATCTTCTGCATACAGCTTTTCAAATGTTTGTCCAAGAAGTTCAGTTTGAAGTTTGAAGTACAAACTGTCTAGATATAAACTGGCATTCACAACACAGCTGAAGGTCACTGTACAGAGATTTTAAGAAATCAGACCTGAATGTTTCAAGAGTAACTTCATTATATTTGATCTGTTAATGATTCAAACCATGTGTTTGTTTTTCACCATGTCCCATTAGAGATTTTGGGACATTACAGTGAAATAACTTGGTTTGGTCTTAGTTTTTCTCTTATTGTTTTTATTTGCTACCCTATTCTTGAAATCTAGAACATTTAAATCATCTTTTGGGATTTTTGTTTTGCAGTGATTGACCCTCAAGTTTTGATTTTGGACATCAAATCAAGTTGAGTCAATCACTGTTGTTGATATAGCACAGAAACAGGATCAACACTGAGAAGCTGCATAAGAAATCTGAATATTAAGTTTACAGTGTTACAGTTGTATTATGGGTAATGTAGCTGTCACAGCTAGTACCCTACAATGTTATATAAAATACAGATTTACCTGAATAAATTAAAAATTACAGTTGAGACGCTACAAATTGAATTATTATGTAAATGAACCTGGCTAGCTGCTAACTTTCCATTCTCAGTTTCGTCGCCTTCAGTAACTGACAGTTTACAACAACGACATGTGCTCCTGTTTCCTTCTCTTCTTCCACAAGCTTTCAGCAGACCAAAGCCGTTTTTTTCTTTTCTTTTCTTTTCTTTTTTCTTCTTTAATTTTCAGCCGCCCAGCTGCCCGATCGGATCACCTGGAATCTCCTCTTACCCATCCATGATTATTATTTCTCCTCCTAAATTGTCTGCCGGCACTACTGTCTGGTAACAAATCCTGGCACAATGGAGAGGAAACACTTTGCACCTTTAAAGAAAGAGTTTTGAGGGGCAGAGTAGATGTTGACAATCTCATTGAAACTGGCTGAAACTTTATGGAGTTGTCTGCACAAACTGCATAACAATTACCAAACACCCAACCGATCAAGCTCGCCCACAAAAAGTGCTTGCTCTCTAGGAAATAAGCCCTTTATTTTAAACAACATCTGTATTTTCAACTGAGATCTTGCAAGACTTGTTGATGAAAGGACACATTTAACAAAGCCGGCGTCTGTCTTGTTGCTGGACCGGCATACTTGGTGATTAAGCCCAGGTTTACTCTTGTAATCTCTTGTACATTAGTATTGCTTCTTGCAGTAAAGTGAAAGCTCCATTTGCGTTCTGTATGCAGTGACAGCAGCGCTCACCTCCTGTCTGTTGGGTAGAGCTCAGTGGTGACCACATCCAGGGAGTTCCAGGCCGAGATACTGAGGCCGTTGTAGAGACAGAGCATGAAGATCATCATCGACTCGCTGGTGCCGAACCAAAGGAAGAAGCAGCTGATGCCTGACAGCACCATGGAGCCTCCTGCAGGACACAGTGCAACACAAAACAACCTCATTTACGTCACCAGAGGTCACTGCAGACACAAAGGCCAGCATCACAAGACATGGAGACATTTTCAAAGAGGAGAGGCTGCTATTCATATCCCAAACAGAGAGTCAGAGCAGGTCCTCAGCCCCCACAAATATAGCAATGTTACATCATACCTAACATGCTAAGACGTCCTATTTTGTCCATGAGGAGAGCGGAGACGATGTTCCCGGGCAGCACAGCCAACGTTCCCAGGAAGTTAACGAAATAGACCCAGTAGGCGCTGTAATCATCGTCGAACGTCATCTGACAGCCTGTTTTGTTGTGGTGGAAGGAGCTGTTGATCAAACTCGAATTTATTAGCTTGGAGTCGTCAATATCTGTAAAGTGAGACAAGGGAACAGTTTTCAGTGTTTAAAGCCTGAATGAGGATCAACAGTTTGTATCTGCCCGCTACCTTCTACAGTCTCTTTCTGTTCATTCAAAACGCATGTTAAAACCTGCATGTGTTCATTTTATGAGGCTCCTACTGGCAATTTTATTATCTTGGCAATGCTACACAAAACACATGCACAGCTTTCTTGTCCAGAATCCAAATGCTGTGCAGTGATTTGTGCCTCCAAAACTGTAACAAGGCTGCAGAAGGCTGCCTTTAAAAATGTTTTCCTTATTACATTTAGGAAAGTATTGCATTTCAAGCCGAATATTGTCAGACGAGGAGCCAATTTGGACTGAAAAACCTTTTATGCTTCTGAATTAAATGAAGTTTAAAATAGATATGGCGTCATTTGGACAGAGCCAGACTAGCTGTTTCCTCTCATCTCCGGTCTTCATGCTAAGCTAACCAGCTGATTGCTGTAGCGTATTTATAAACAGACATGGGAATGGTATCAATCTTCTGCTCTCTTTTCAGAGTACAAGGGAGCTTTTTCTTTCCACTGTCACCAAGTTCTTGCTCAAAGGGAATCACTAATGGATTTTTTGAGTTTCTCTCTTTAATATTTTCTTCACCTTTGTATGTGAGGTGCCCTGAGATTACTTATGTTGTGAACTGGTGCTGTATAAATTAAACACAAATTTCCGAGAGGCTTTCTGGTTGAAAATAGATGAAGTGAAAACCTTTGCATTTTTTAAATTTGATTCAGAAACATATCAATGATGTGTATAGAACACAGATATACTGTATGTATGCACCAAATATTATATATAGTTTCATTGTCTGTCAGCTCCATAGACTGTTTACAGATTATTTCAAATACGCTACAGCTAATAATGATTTGAGCAAATTTTTCTACTTGTTCCAAGTGCGCAAGCAAAATAAAATACTTTAGAATAGGTGACTGATTAGCCTGTGTGTTAAATCAAAGTCACGACCTGATGTCAAAGATAGGGATCAGGGCCAATGAAGGTATTTTTAACTGATCAGTATTGGCACAAATGATCTGACCTGATCCTTTGTAAAAAAAAGCAGGAATGTAGGTTTTGAGTAATTCTCCTAATCAATAAGTCACAAACTGAGTACAGTGGATGTTTGTCCTGTGCGGATATCGCGGTTTAAACCAAGCTAAATCACATATTCTGTTGCATGTAGAAACACTGTCCTAGTTGATCCCAGTTTATTTTAAACACATGAGCTCTAGCTGGAACTCATCAAACATCACAGAAGTCTTTGTGCCCATTGCTAGCTAAACCCCACAATGCTCTCTGGAACGGCCCTCCCGTAACATGAAGAGGCTCCACCGGGTCTCCAACCAGGTACTACAGCTAATCTACAGCACATTTTCTGACAAGCATGTAGAGGATACAGGTTTACACCATCGTTTAGAGTTTGGGGAGCCACAGTACATCCGACCCTCTCCACACTACTTCAGTGCCCTACTGGAGCTTTTCAACAACCTTTCTGACCACCTATGTGACATTAACAAAACAGCTTGGATGCAGAAATTCCTTTTTTCATCATGCGTTGTAGAGCTGTTCAATTGTCAGGAATATACATTGAATTCATTTTTAAGAACTTTATTGCATTTGAAGTGTGTAGGATAATGGTATCTAGCTGGGACTCGGTGTCAGCAAATACTGACTATTAAGCACAACCAGATCGGAGGCATAAAAACCTAAATCCCTAGACACAAGTCTTATATTAAGGTTATTGGGGTGGGTCCTGATTTGACTTGTCGATAATTGTGGGTTTACAAAGCTGAACCCCTGTAGAACTCAGGTTCAAATGTCTCTTCCTAAACAGAAATGGTGTATCAATAAACCTCAGCCATAAGGAAACCCTCCCTGCTCTCACCCCTGCTCTCACAACACACTCCACCTTCCCAATCTCATTCCGTCTCTTCTCGTTTCTCTTTATCCTCTTCCCTCCAGAGACACATTGCTGGGGGCAAAGAGACTTCATTTCCCGTGGGGCATTACCAGCAAACCTGACGCACCCTCACTGTTTCCATGTTCAGCGCTTTCCTGAGTGCTGGAGGGAACTGTTTTTCCACCCCGCAGTCCCACAAGGTCTGATTCAGCTCCAGTTCTCTCAGATCATTTTAAAAAAAAACCTCTCCTGCCTTTCCTTTTCTTCCAGATTGTGTCTTTGTCAGTCACAAAACGACTGAATTGCACTTTTATAAAATAGCCAGGATCCATTAATAGGACATTTTGATGTTTTGGATGCTGATGCAGGAGTCCTGGTTTCAATTGCCTTATCAAAACAAAAAAAATTCTGTGATGGAGTAATCTGCAGGTGAAAAGGGAGAGCTCGCCTTAGTTAAAATTCAAACACTCAGAGAGCCATGTTTATGTCAGTGCCATCTAAAGCATCACTACAGGAGTCTTTGTGCGGATGGAAATTGCCATTTTCAGTCTTCTGCAGCCCAGCCTGGCTCACTTTTTTCCGTTAAATACAGTCAGTGGTAGTTCAGAAAGGCAATCTGTGCAGGGGGCAGAGAGGTTAAGCAGTAATTTAGTGGCATAAAGCAAAGCCATAAATGCTCAAACCCATTCTTTCTCCTCTAAGGCAGAGGCTTGGACGTTAGGCCCAAAATGAACTGTCAGACAGAAACAGAGAGACTGAGTGAGACTTATGTGTAAGCCACCTACAGTATAATAGGATTTTGTGGGGGTGGAAGGAAATACCTCAGTTCAATACAGGAGCACTGTGCGCGAGAGAGGAATACCCAGAAAGGGAGTGAATTTCACATGTGTCGACTCACCTGTGTTGTAAAAGAAGGAATCTACAAAGGTGCAGTTTTTGAAGAAGGATCCCACTGAGGAGACATCTTCGAAATAGCAGTTAAGGAAAGATGAGTCGATGAACGTGACCGTCTTGAACTTCATACTGATAAACCTGGAGGGGAGAGAGGTGGACAGGGAGGAAATTACAGTAGGAAAGATCCAAAGAAGCAGCCAGCGAGGAAGGATTAGCTGGGATTTGTAACATATTCCAGACAGCAAAGGTGTTAATGTTGAATTATTTCCCTTTGAAAAGATGCTCGGCTGGGCAAATTGTGTAATTGAAATGCTGAGTCACTGTTTTCACTGAACGCACAGGCAACAAATACAGGAAAGGTCTGCTGCTTTTATACCACAAAGTCTGAAATGAATGTAAATCTCCACTTCTTGTGATCAAGTAATAAAGCTTTGACTTCAGGAAGGACAGCAGTGGAAAGTGCATTCACTCACATGCAACACTTATGCTTGACTTGAGTATTTCCATGGACTCTAAGAAAAAATGGTGTCATTTTACAGAAATTGCTAATTATTTTATAGATTTTTTTTTCTTTTTTAAAAAATATATAGACGACAACACCAATAAAATTAGAAAAATATACTGCCTGTATTTTACCGTGCTAGCGTGGCCTCATGGTTGTAGCTGGATTTTTTTTTTCTTTTTTTGTTGGCTCTCTTGCACACAACCTTACTGATTGTAAATGAAAGTGAAAGGAGGGAGGAGGTTTGGCTGATGTGCCCGTTTGTTTTGCTCTGTGATGCTGGTGATCTAGCAACATCCCATAGCCATGAAAGGTTGCACACAGAAATAAGAAGAACAAGAATAACTACAGCGCAGTAGAAAACACATTCAGAAAATTAAATGAATTACAGTATATTGCTTTTTTTTCATGTTAGCACATCTATAATAACATTGAATAATATATAATAATGTTGCGTCTTGCGTGGGGGTTCCCTGTCCAATCCTAGCCAGCTGAATGAACATGCTTACACACTACCGGGTTTATTTACCAATGTCATGTTGATAGAGTTCATCATACATGTATACAGTACAATAATGCTGCATCGATTCTGAGGACTGAGACGCTGACTGTATCTACATCATGTGCTGGGAAATGTTGTGTTGATTTATTAATGATGTTTACTTTTGCTATGTTTAATGTTATCAATTTAAGTTAAGGATTTCGTCATTGTAATTGCAGGTCAGTCTACATTTGCAACCTGTTAAGTCCAGTTGTTTTTTGAGAATGCATTTTTTGTCCCTCGGCAGGCTTCATACATTTATATCCTTGGATGTTACCCTTTTTATGTAAATAGTTCCTGTGATTTATTTATGATTCTTAAGTTCTGTGTGTCACTGACATGTCTCATTTAGTGGAAACTTTTTAAATTCATGCCTTCCTATTGTATGTAGAGTACGTTTATTGGTTGCAGAGTTACAGTCACTCCCTGTTGAAGATGACTTCCATGTGTACCAAACCATTTGCCTCATGAAGGTCTAGCACCGAAATGTCAGGAATACATCTATTTTTTTTCAAGCTACACAAGGAATGAGGGCCTGTTTGAAACCTTTCGATATACTTGCCCCTCTCCTACACACCTGCCTCATAAAATAGATGTGCGCAGACTTCCTTTGTCTTAAATGACAGATTTTAAGGGAAAATTCAGCAAAGGATGTGTTTTTACTTTCAATTCTTTAATTACATTTTGGCTCAAAAAACATCATACTTTTAATTAGGTTAAGGAGAATTTTTACAGAGTAATCGCTAGTTTTACTCAAGTAGGAGATATGAACTGGTATTTAACAAAAGTATTGTATAGCACTTAACAAAACAAAGTCACAAAGTGCTTTTGCAACCTGAGATCATGTAAAACGTAAGATTAAAACACAGTAAAAGATATTCAAGTACTAAATAAGACAAATTAACACAAGAAATGGCAAAATCCACAAATGGAATAGCAACTAGAATCACTAAAGATCAAGAAGGACGGTTTTAAAGTTAAATGTAAAAGAAGCCTCTGTCTCATGCTGCCTTGTGTCCTCAGGCAGCGTATGCCAGAGCCTCAGGGCTGTTATGTCTAAAGCGCTGCCCTCCTTCTTCTTCAATCAAAAGTCTGGAACAGATAGAAAGCGTCTGTCTGAGGATCTCAGAGTGTCAGCAGGGTTGTGTAGCGATAAAAGATCAGAGATATAGTGGGATGCCAAACCATGTAATTCCTTGTTAGTAAATAAAAGAATTGTGAAAGCAGTTGTAAAATGTACTTAAAGCTGATGTAAAGAGTCTAAAACTAGATTGATATGTTTTAACTTGTTTTTAAAAGACAAGTGTGTCTTCTCTTCAGTGTGTCCAACATGACAGGGTTTACCAGTCAGTTATTTATCTATATGATTTGTAACTGAACACAGCATCATTGTATTGGTCTTGATGTAATCTAATAAATGCATCCTGGTCTTGGGTGAGAATGCAAAAAGAACAAAAAACGCATATCAATGCGTCTTCTCGCTCGCCTTTGTGTAAGAAAGGATCATAACCAGGAGGAGGAACAGATGTGTGTG